GGGAGGGGGAGTTTGAACCATCTCCATCCACTCACCCAAGACAAATCCATATGTCTATGAAATCTTTTCCAAAATAGTGTCTCCTTAGCTTTTCAACCCTCTACGATGTCATATAGGTTTCTCGGTGGTTACACATTTTCTAAAAGATTTTTATGAGAAGAAAAATAAATGAGTGATTCTCCTTTGATTGTTTATTCTCTAAATTCTTGTCTAAAGCGCAACAACTAGGAAGAATGGAAGAAAACAATTCATGCACAATATGGGTTTAACATCTAACAACCACCCGGGTCAAACTGGGAACCCATTAAGCAAAAACAGTATCAACATTTGTGTCTTAAATCTCAAAAATTAGCTTTCATTATTGATTAGAAAATAGCAATCCATTGGAACGTTAGATAGATCTAGTGTAGCGAATTCCTCTCACAGGTTAATAAATGAAATCACCATGTTGCAATAAGGAGGTTGTGGGTATTGCAAAGATTGACCTCTTGGGAGAGGAATCTGGAAGTAAAGGGGCGGCGAATGGGGTGATGTGTATCGCCCCCTTTCTTCTTGTCCAGACACCCTCGGAATGTTTCAATGAACCCCCCTTAAAACTGATCGACCTTTAAGAGTCCGAATCGAATCTGTAAAAGTCCCCGTCAATTCGACGATAGAGCCGACATAAATAAATATTTGCAGAGAACCTTCGTTTTAGGTTCTGGAGTCGGCCGTTCTTCCATACTTTAATGGATCTAGATGAAACGTTGATATTTACACTCGGCATCCCTTTTCCTTCTCTTTCCACATGTAAAGCTAAGTCAGCATTTGTTACTCCACCCCCACGGGGTCGCTCCGGCATACAGAACTTCTCTCTCTCGCTCTGACGGTCCATTGATTTTAGTCCGACCCTTCTCGCTACCACCTGCATGATATCTCTCTCGTTGTCTTCCTCCCTTAAAACACAAAAGGGAGAAGAAAAGAAAGCACTTTTTTCTTTTATAATCCGTATTTACCTCACCGATTGACGATAATTGAAGATAAAGATCTCTACTAAACCCCTCAGAGGTGAGAAGTGAGCTGTTCGAAAAAAGGACGCGGAAATCGACGTAACAACTCGGCCGTATTCAAATGTACACAAATTAAATAGCATCATAACTATTACTCACTAAGTTATGGACCCCCTCCCTAAGAACTGGCAAAGATTTCCTACAGTTAACCAGCTTTTCCTATTCAATCCTTGTACTTACTTCTTCCCAGTCATTTGAAAAAGTTGAAGTCCTCTTTCCATCTTGGCCTGAACAACTCTCAACACACCAGGGATGAAGAAGTTCTGTAACCCAGAAAGCCCATACCAAAATAGAGGTGGGACAGTTTATTTAGGTTAAAGATAGTAAGGGAAAGAAATTGCCTAAAATACTGGTTTCCCCCAAATGCCCGATCTGATGGTAGGTCTTGTCCAAGTCCTATAGGTTAACTCCCCTTCCTACCTTCACAGTGTTGGTCATCTGTTCCCTATTTTCCATCGCCCTTTCGGGTTAAAGTTTATTTAATGTCCAACTTCATCGGACGCCTGGGGTCACTCCTGCAAACAAGGAAGCTAGTGGCATCCATTGTTCTCACCTTACGCCGCATCCAACGACCACCACGAGTCCAACTTCAATCGGAGGTTATTTGGAATTACCCCCTGACATGGCTCAGAATTATGTTTAAGGTAGGATTGATCGCCCAGCCTGGAGTAAAAAAAAAAACCATGTACTGTTCACACCCGTCGCCCGAGGGGTGAATTTTTAGTAACCCAATTCGTGACTTAATGGTCTGACACAGTTTGAAATCATCAGCAAAGAAAAGAAAACTAATATCTGAGAAAGCAATTGAAATGACATAAATAAAAAGAAGAAACAAGAGTGGACCAAGATGCGAGCCTCGAGATATACCAGAAGAGGCTTCAAATTTAAAAGGTGGGCAGCACTTCCTACCTAACGATTTGATACCTATTATTTAAATAAGATGAAAAGTATTCCGTCAAATTAGCGCTTGGATGCAAGGTTAACATGTTCACTGGCGGATGACGCCACATTTAATCATGAATGAATTGTTTCACATTGGCGTCATGAAAGAGTTGTTTCAATTGGGCGTCATGAATGAGTTATTCACAAGCAAATGACGCCAAAACAGCGTTATGAATGAGTTGTTTTCACCTTGGTGTCATGTATTAAGTGTTTAATCAGGATGAAATTTTAATAGACGCAGGACGCCAAAACGTCGTAATGAATGAATTGATTCATTAGCGTACGACGCCACATTGGCATCATGAATGAGATGTTTCACGAAGTGAATGACGCCAAAACGTCGTCATGAATAAGTTGTTTCTCTCATTTGTTGTCCAAAGTGGCGTTATTCTCTCAGTCCTTTCAACTCTCAATGAAATAACCGCAAGTCAAACGTAATAGGTCCCGCAGTGGACGTGTGCAGGAGAAGATCTTGATGTCTAATGTTTATTTTTGCGCTGTCTTCTCGTTTTGTTTCGAATTTCTTATTTTCCCTTTGTATCACTTTCTTAACACGATCCTTTACACACTTTTCCGTGTTTTTTCCACCTTTTTGTTCATTAGTCAGAGGCTAAGTTTGAGCGGCGTAAATGAGGGTCTGATGCAGGAGCGGAAAAGCTCGGTATAAATGATAATCTCCGAGCTTTTTTTCATGACAGAGATCCTTCTTCCGATTATAACTTACAATTGACCAAGATATGCAGTTTCTGCTATCATTCCAGATGAGGAACCTACAATTTGGTCTTTTCCATCACTGTTTTGGCCTGTATGACGTTTTGCCTATTCAGCGCTATTTCCCAACTTAAACCTGTTTCATACAACCTTTTCACTGAAGATGACGAGGAGCCGAAATGCATCAGTACAAAAAAAAAATTATTAAAAAAAAAAAAACAGAGAAAACAGGGGCAAACCAAAATGGAGATTTACAATGAAACAAAAGAACAAAAAGACAATAAGGGTCGAGACGGATCGATAAAAAAGACTCTCGTATGTTAAAAACCGGCTCAAAAGGGAAATAATATTGTCTAATTGGCTGAATAAACAGTTTACGATCTATGAGGGGGGCGATTCTACGGCTATGAAGGACAAATTGTACTAGGGTGTAACTGAAGGAGACGATCAGCCGTCCTTTTATGGTCACAACCAGGGGGGGGGCGTGGAATTGCATAAAAGGATCGATTCACCTGTGCTTATCCTTCCAAAACCATTGCCCCTTTAACAGGTTCATCGACATTCAATACTGCCGATTTGAAATGACTGTATATTCAATAAAAATGATCCATTAATTGCTACCTTTATGTATTAGTCACTTTAATAATTGAATATATGCACTCTTATTTGATTTTTGAGGGAGTTCCACCAAGTGAAGCATGCATATCCCAGAATTGGCCTTAGCTTGGACTTGTACATAAGTACACAAATTTCCGCCTTAAACCCAGATTTTCCACCGACAAAAGTAGGCTGGCTTCATTTAGCTTTCTATTTATATTACTAATCCAGGTGGGATCCCTGGGTGGGCAGCAACCTGGATTGAAGCTAAATTTTGGTCGAATTTGATGGTGATGCACTCCTTGATGGGTGCTTACTTTTAGCCCTCAGTGTACGAGTTTCTGACACCCATGCTTAGTATTTTACTCTGGAATACCTGCACTCTATTTGATAGTTGAAGCAGAAGCAACACCTCATGTCTCACTGGTATATGCCACAGGCTGAACTTGAACAAAATTCCAGTTCACTATGAAAGATATCATATTGGGGTTTTTTTTCTTCTAACATTTCAAAGCATCCAAACTACAGTAGCTGGCATATGGTAAAATGTTCCATTAGACTTGTACAGAATTCCACCTTAAACCCAGGTTTCCTGTTCACCATTGAAGACAGCACATTGTTTGGAGTTTCTGACATCCAAGCTACAGTAGCTGGCATATGCCAAAATTGGCATTCCTTTAGTCTTGTACAGAATTCCACATTAAACCCAAATTTCCTGTTCGGCATTGAAGACAGCACATTGTTTGGAGTTTCTTACATCCAAAACATTGAAACTACAGAAGCTGGCATATGCCAAAATTGACGTGCCTTTATACTTGTACGAAATTCCAGCTTAAACCCAAATTTCTGTTCACCATTGAAGGGAGAGAACGGGGGATACAATAGCTCTTAAAGGGCGCAGTATACTATACCCTGAAAAATCACATCTACATCTACATCACCATTGAAGACAGCACATTTTTGGGAGTTTTATTGGGGCCAGCATCCTGGTGTAGGTTTCAGTTCAGGCTATTTGTACAGCTATTGTACAGAAGAGTAGAAGAGAGAACAAATTCTGGAGAAAAATAGTTTTTCTTTAGTATGGTCCATGTAAATGGCTCTTTTTCTTGGGTCACTGGTGACAATAGGCTCTCCCTTCTTTATCCTCACACCTCCCGTAAGGTAGTTGAGCACTTTCTGGTGTTCCCCTTTGCTTATTTCCTAGGAATCAGTGTCTTTCCAAAGTGGCTGGATTATTTCCAGGTTAATACTTTGCAGTCACATCAATTCTGATGTCTTTGCTTTTTCTGTCTTGATTTTTCCCATTTATCTCAAAATGATGTTGATTAGATTTTTGGTTTACTGGTGTTGTTGAGGAATTCTTGCGCACTGGTGTATTCAATCAGTTTTCATACATTTCTTTCTCTATCTATATGTTCAGTCCTGCTTTTTCAGTCAGGTTTTTCATTTTGTCCTAAGAGCCTGTTTACACTTTATGTAAGCTACTTAGTCTGAAGAAGTAAAAAAAAAAAAAACATGGCAAAACTTGTTTCTCCAGAGTTATCTTATTATTAATAACTTTAAATGAATGAATGTGCTTTTTTGATATATCCAACCTGTACTTCTGAGCTTAAATTACAAGTTTGTAGTAATGTCTAATGATAATTTGTTAAGTTCAACATGAAAATCTTCATTATAATACAGAATTAATCAATATTTCAGGACATCCTCAAGAGATAGAAGATCATTCCGGCCAAAAGCAATCAACCGAAGAGGGTGAATCTAGAATTTCTAATGAAAAACAGAGCTCCCTTAGTTGTAAGTAAATTTTTTATCTTTATTAATATTTTGTTAACAAAAAAAGATAATAGTTTTTGATAATTATATTTGATTTCTTTTAGTACCTGTTATTAGGCGCGACTGTTTAAATGGAAACTTAGTAGGTATGGAGAATAAGACAGATAAAGTCCAGCTCCTTTTTGGACACGGAGTTTGTAAATGGCCTGGCTGTGATACGTTATGTGAAGATATGAAATCTTTTCTAAAGTGAGTGCAACATGATGAATAATAAAGGTTCATTTTATAATGATAATAGAATAAAATAATATATAATAAGATATATAAATAATATATACAATATACAATAATATAAATATATATAAGGGTAAAATAATGTATTTCATCACTATAGAAGTTTTTTTAAATGGTTTTCTTCCAAATTGTAAGTACACTTCTTTTTGATTAGATAAGTACATATGTTCTGTTGTAGGCATTTAAACAAGGAACACACTTTAGACGATAGGTCGACCGCTCAAGCAAGAGTACAGATGCAAGTTGTGTCTCAGTTAGAACTACAGTTACAGAAGGAAAGGGACAGGCTTCAAGCAATGATGATACACCTTCATATGTCCAAACAGCAAAACTCAACAGAACCTGAGCCGAACAACAGTGATGCTTCTAATGTAATTACAAATTTCTTAATCCTTAAATATTTATTATTATTTATTTATTAAATATTTTGTTAGGTAGGGTTAGAAATGGGTTTGGTTAGGAAAGATAGGATTACAATTAGAGGCGGATTGGGTTAGCATTAGGGATGGGCTGTTAGCTTTTCTCTAAAATAATCATTATTGATAACAAAATAGTAGAGCAGGTGTCGCACTTTACCTGTGACCTGAGCTATATACTGGGCAATAACATGACCACAAAGATTGGACACTTCCAAAGAATATATGGCACCATTCGTCAGTGCTGATATACTTAATTGTCATCACACTTAGGTGAAATGCATCAGTTACCATCATCTACCATCATCTCTAATGAAGAACAACGAAAGGATAATTTTCAAGGCAAATTTAACTATGATGACTAACTTTTTAAAACATGGATTTTTGGGCTGATCACACAATTTTTTTTAATGGATTGGGTTATGTTAGGAATGGATAGGTTAGGTACGGTTTGGGGATTGGTTAGGTTATGCAGGGTTAGGGTTGGGTTAGGATTGGTTAGTACTGTGTTAAATTAGAGTTGGGTTATTTTTCTATTATAATTTTCGATGCATATCTAACTGACGATTAACTTTTTTTTGGACATGGATTTTTGGGCTGGATACGATTTTTTTCCATGGGTATGTCAAGAATGGATAGGTTGGGTAGGGTTAGAGATGGATAAGGTTTGGTTAGGAATGGTTAGGTTAGGTAGGAATAGGGTTAGAGGTATGTTACGTTGTTCTCTCATTGTTCATTGACAATGAAGCCTATTTTTGAATTTTTACCACATAGTACAAATATAACATAGATAATATTACCCTAATAGCTTTATGATGTGGTTTATTGTCAGGCGATTAGGAGCAGTTGTTTACCGAAAAGTTCATCCCCAGCTTTCGTATCACAGACTTCAAATCCAGTTGTAACAACGTCGCAATTGCAGTTGTCTTCATTGGGATCGAACAGGGGGTCAGGACTTTCACCGATGAGGCCACCAACACCGAGTTCGACAAAGAGGAGAGTGTGTGATAAATCCTCGGTTTCTCTCACTGGTGGTATGTGAGAAGCTGTAAAGTTTTAGTTTGTTCATATTAAACACGCAATTTTCTTCAGGCTTACCTTATATGCTGGAAAGAGCTGGACTTGATGTTCAACAAGGTATTTTAATTGTTTTAGCAATTTTTGTTTAAATATATTGTATATTATAAGGGTAAGAAATATAATTTTTGTTGTTGTACAGAATTAGAAAGGAATAAAGAGTTTTATAAGAACGCGGATGTGAGGCCACCTTTTACCTACGCATCTCTAATAAGACAGGTTAGTTATTGTCGTTAAAATCTTTTTATTTTTGTATTTTAAATAAATAATTGATCATTTTAGTCAATTATTGAGTCTCCTGACAAGCAGCTCACACTGAATGAAATTTACAATTGGTTCCAAAATACGTTCTGCTACTTTAGAAGAAATGCAGCTACTTGGAAGGTAACCGAATATTCCTTAAATATTGTTATTTTAGATAATAAATATTCGGTTAATGGGTGAAGCTAAATATTCAAAAAACAAAAGAAAGGCCTGAACAATTGTTTATTGGCTGTTTTTTCCTCACTAAGAACTTTTGTGTATTCAGTGTTATTATGTTGGTGCTAAAATTAGTCATTCAAATATTTTGTTATACTACATAATACTTAAATGTAAAAAATAACATGAAATTTGGCTGTTATTTTATCTTTGCTTGTATTGTGTAATGTTTAATAGAATATTCCCCAAATTAAACATTCATTTTGTACTAACATAGTGACACAACTGTTTGCTTAAATTTCCTTTAAAAATAGCAATTTTCGAAATGTAAGTTTGTGTAAAAAAGGTAAATATTTCCCTTCAATCATGTATAATTTTAATTATATCAGGTAATGTGTTATAATGATTACAACAATTATTACAGGTAATGTACTGTAATGATAACAGGAGTATAATTATTATTGGTATGTTCTTCTTTTTTGTGTTTATTATATGATAAAATTAATGAACCAATAAAAACAACTCTTGTCTATTAACCCTCAACGCTACAGGTTTCTACCGGTAATCATATGGGATATTTCATAGCTAGTTTAAGCAGAAATATTGGTTCTTCCTGAAGCTTCTGTTTCCCATTCCAATTTTGTCGACTTTCATGAAAGTTGTGATTCACACCTCTGTATATCTCAAAGTATAGGACTTGTCTAGGTCCATAAGAAATGCACCCTGAGGTCCACTCGTATTTTTCAACAGTGTTACTCTACCTACCGCTGTGACCACTACCTAGGACTATTAACTCACTTAATAGACCATACAAACTTCTCTCTTTCAAATCCTAGGCAACCCTGAGTATCTTTAACGTCTGGACTCAAGTGGGTCTCTCAGACCTGTCGGCTGAAACCAACACCCGGATGATTTTACATGATGGTGATGTCCCTGGTTAGTAAGGCAATCCAAGGAGGACATTCATGTGCCTTGAGAAAGATAGTTTTATGCTTTCCAGCTATCATGCTACCCATCTAACCCTGATAACTACATCCTCGGTTCCGGTTGACCGGTACCCTCCAGCTAAGGTACAAATTATTTTCAAACCAAGACTACCACAAGTCCAACGTCATTTATTAAAGATTCCAAGCTCTACTTGGAACGGGGAAGGGAAAAGGAAAGAGCAACTCCTAGGCACCAGAGTCGATGGTAGGACTTTCCTAGGACCTTAGGTTACCCTGATAGGTGTTCAACTACAGCAGACTACTCAAATCGAGACTGCTGACCAAAATATCCAACTCCTATAGAATCCAATTCAGTCCAAAAACCTCTGTTGAATATCAAACTGTTATGTGTCCATCTCACACCATAACCTTAATAACCAACTCCATAAAATCATAACATATTCTTCACTTCACACTCTGGTCATCCCAATCAGCCAGTAAGCCATTTCCTCAGCCTGAATTCCAGATAGTCCTCAACATGAGTGATAAGTGCTTACACTTTCATCAGAGAGTTGCTGCAGTTGTTAAATGTCCCATATAAAGAAAATAAATTGGGATTATCTATCGTGTTAGCTATAATTGCCTGTTTTACAATGTGTCAAATATAATTGGTGGTCTGTAGTGGGGGCTCTGCTTAACCAGTACTCCTCTATGTCATTGTTCTTTATACAGAAAGGCGTAATTTGACCTAAATAGCTGTTTGCTCGTCATAAGTTGTTTTTCGCTGGTCTGTTTGTCAGTCATGAATATGAATTGATTGAATTTACAAATGATATGTGTCGATGCCTTTGGTTTCTCCTGATGGTTGTCTGCTTCTGTCTTTGCTTTGCCCATCTTCTTTACTGGTACAGAGAGTGGCAGAGATAGAGGTATATAATTATCCTTAAATCTTGTCTGCTGAGAGGTGAAAGGGCTAGTTCCTGTTTCTTTCCTTCTATACCTTCGTGTCCTTGAATCCACCTTAAGATAGATAACCTTGTTGTGTTTTTTCAGGGTCATTAGGTAGTTTATACCCCAGACTAGTTTGGACCTAACAGCACATGAGCTTTTTGTACCCTTATAGCTGCCTAATTGTCCAAAAGAATGCAAAGTTATGCACCTTTTGTATTTGTCTTTTTGAACTGGGTATGTTGTTGGATTGTGTGGACTTCAGCTTGGAAGATTGTTGAGACTAGTTAAATCGTGCTAGGCTATAATTTGATCCTTTACCCCCTACACCTTTTTCCATCTTTGATTCATTAGTGTAATATTTTATGCCTTCCTGAAAATTTAGGGTTGCTTTTCTTACAAAGATCCCTGTTATCTATGACAAGTTGAAAGAGTCAAAGTTGAGATGACCTCTCATTTTGTCACATAGAGCCCCTTGGTTTGGTCTCAGATGATGTACAATTGACCAATAATTATGATCTAGGACTGCTTTTACACCTTAGTCTGGTTGTCTCAGAAGCCAGTCAACTTGCTTGACAGAATACATCGAGAAATTTCCTTATGTTTAGTACTTATGCTGTCTGTACTACTTCTGAATTTGAGCCTTTGGCTATTTTATTTAGAGAAAGTTAAGGCTTTGTGGCTTTAGACCAAGACATATAAACCTGTGACGTTAAGGGTTAATTTCTGTGTAAAACATTAGCTCGATTTATTCATCGAAGAGGGAGAAATGTTGTTTCAAAAAAACAACTCGCAATTGATTGTGACTAGGAAAGTGGACAATTTGAATCTATAAACCAGTTCAAATAATATAGCTACAATTTTATAATAAAAAATGTAATACTTTAAAATTGAGGGATAAGGCAAATATAACCTGTTCAATCAGGACTTAAAACTATTTCTAATTACACAGTTAAACAATATAGTTTAATATTAAATATTATGGCTTTGGTAAAGTTTAGATTAGTAGAATGAATGGGTAGTAGGTCTCATCTTAAGGTTCTCCAGGTCATCCACCAAAGCCTCAGTCTTCCTTTCCTGACTGTAAAATATTATGCTTTAAGTAACTGACATTTAATGAGGAAACAGAAGTATTAAATAAATCCACAGTATTGCATGTGTGTTTTATCATCATGCGATGCATCGGGGAGTGTAGTGAAAAATTTGTTCCTTTGTGACAGTTTAATTTGAAATATGTATGAAAGAATTTATTTTGAACAGTTTGAAGAAGTTTTATAACAGTGTAGTAGTGCAGATTCCAGATTATTGAGGCATATTCAAGAATAGGTCGAACAAGTGAATTATATAGATAGACATAGCAGGATGATAGGTACTTCTGATGATGAAGTCTTGCATTTTAAAGGAGTGATTTTTCATTTCTTGTAAATGTAGCTTTAAGGTAAGATTACTATCAAAGATGACGCCAAGGTGAATGGTTGACAATGGTTCCCCATGTCTTAACCCACCTATGACTGTGTACCAGGCTCTGTTAACTAGTCATACTAGTTTTAACAAGACCCCCGACGACCTCATATCCCTTGTCACCACTTCCTTATTTACCGGTTAACGTACAGTTGCTCTCTGACATGATAACTATGGTTTTGTTTTTATATATTCTACTCAGATTGAATTGTGCACTTGTCCACTGAATATTTACTTTTTGGGTCAACCTGCCCCTGTACCTTCCTGTGTCCTAGACCCATCCATGTACCAAAAAAGTCCATCATTGATCTTGCCTCCCTGTAGCCTCACGTCTCCAATTGCTCTCTCAGTGGGCAGCAGTAGAAAACTGTGGGGTAAGAGAAAGCGCCAACTCTTCCAGACAAAGGAAGCATGTAATTCAAATGTCCCTGGTCTTCCAGTTTAATTACTGGACACAGGGTTTCAAACCAATGAAGGGGTTATATTCTTCAAAATCTTTACAAAGGGATTATTTTTCTTTCTTTCAAACTAACCTTATTCCTGAGTTTTTTATAAACATATCAGACATGTTGAGATAAATAATATAAATTAATGATTCATTAACTATGCCCTTTTAATATTTGAATTATTATAATAAAGGGCCTTTTTTCAAACTTCTAGTTATAACTACAAAAGCTAAGACTTTTGTCTCTGCCAATTGTGATAATAAATTTGTAAAATAAATTTTTATACAGCATTTTGTAAGACAAATATAAATTTGAACTGTATCAGATTCATGCATAAGGAGGCTGGCATGTTTTTAAACATGTGTTCTAATTTCCTATAAAGGAAATAAGCCTTTTTTCCTCATTAGGTCATATTGTTTAAATTGTAGAAAAAAATTAACATGGGAAAATGTACATTCTAAAAGTATAAATTAAAAACAAACAGCCAATAAACATTTCATTGTTTTAAAAAATCTTACTAATATCCAAGCGTAATGCAAATGTTAGCAACACTTCACCTCCTAGCGAATATAATAATTGTTTGTCACATTAAACTTCATAATTTTCACTAATAAAATTGTAACAATAAAAGATGTTAGCATTCATTGAGTGCGACTGGATATCATTATTACAAAACTTTCCAGAAGATTATGCCAGGTCCAAAACTCAAAATCACATGTTTGGTTAATTAATGTAAATAATTAAAGGTAATGGTGGCTATAAAAGAACAAGAATAACATTCTATTAGTAAAACAATCATAAATTACTAAATACTTTGTTAAAGTGGTTAAAAATTGCATAATTTATGACAGAAGTAAATATTTTTAATTCTAAAAAACTAAATTTATTCTCTTGATATTATAAAATGTTTAAAGAAGTGTCTGTAAATTGTTTAAAACAGGCCAAAATATTTGTAATGCAAATGATAGCCTTTTTCCCTGTATTAATGTTCTTGTCTAAAATATGTAATATTTTTTATATAAAATTTTTTTTATATGAATAATCTGTGATATTACATGTGTGTATGGCCATTTGTATACGCAAGATATTTTCGCGTTTGAACTTCGTATTTTTTATGTATGTAACTAGCTTTGAAAATGCATGTATTTTCTATTTTATATATAAAAAAACATTTTTCCCCACATGAAAAGCATATAGGTAAGGATCGAAATCAGTGAGGTGCCTGAATTTCCCAGATCGATTATAAATATTTGAATTTGTATAATAAGAAAGACAATTTCTGTACATCGATGTCTTATTTGATGAGATGCCATTTGAGCCTAAAGCCTTAAATACTAAACAATTTGCTTTCATAATGATTTGTATGTACAAAAGAAATTTTATATTTGTAATGAAAAAAAAAAATCATTGAAATACTAATAGTTAAATTGTGAGAATTGGGTTGGGGTTAGCGACAGGTTAGATTAGGTTAGGAAAGATTAGATTAAGTAGGTTTTGTTGGGTTAGGGCTACAGTTAAGGATAGTTAGGTTAGGAATTAGGATTTTGTAACTTTTACTCAATCAAAGCAGAAAATAAATGTTATTCTTCAATATATTTATTTAACTTGTAATTAGTGCAGAAAACCTTAAACATTGAACAATTATTTTTAAAAATAAAATTTTATCATGTAATGATTTGTATGTACAAAAACCACTTTTATATTTTTAACTAAAAATAATCATCAAAATATTAATAATTAAACTGTGATAATTGGGCCAGGAGTTAGGTTAGGTTAATAAATTTATGCTAAGTAGGGACAGGTTAGGTTAAGTTGTTAGGATTAAGGACAGGTTAGGTTAGGATTTTCTTTTACTGAATCAAAGCAGAAAATAAGATAAGTATTATTCTTCAATATGTTTATCTATCTTATTGGTTGAGCATAAAACCTTAACACTAACTAATTATTTTTAATTATAAAATTTATTAAGTAATCGTTTGTATGTACAAAAGTCTCTTTTATATTTTTAACAGAAAATTATCCTCACAATATTAATAATTAAACTGTAGGAATTGGGCTGGGTTAGGTTAAGTTAGTAAAAGTTAGGTTAAGTAGGGACAGGTTAGGTTAAGTTGTTAGGGTTAGGAACAGGTTAGGTTTGGTTTTTGTACTTTTACTTAATCAAAGCAGAAAATAAGATAAAAATTATTTTTGAATTTGTTATTATAACTTATAGGTTGAGGACAAAACCTTAACTCTAAACAATTATTTTTAATTATAAAATATTTATCAAGTAATTTTATGTATGAATAAAAAATCATTTATTACAGGTTAGGTTAAGATGTTAGGGTTAGGGACAGTTTAGGTTAGGTTTTTTTTTACTTTTAATGAATCAAAGCAGAAAACAAGACAAAAATTATTTTTGAATATGTTTTTATAACTTATTTGTTTGAGTTTAGATTACGAATCGGCCTCTTTTCGACCTTGCGCACTGCTACCAATATTGGTTTATGCAAGTTCCATTATTATCTAGAGCTTTTCATTAAGCTTAAAGATTTTTATCAGATCCCAAAACTTTGTTAAGGGTTTATCTTCCAAACCTTGGCTTTTCCTCTCCCAGGAGCAGGAATCTCAGCCTGCCAACAGAGGCATGTTCCGCACTTTCTTCTTCTTTCTGACCTCTGCACAGACTTGGTTCTGCTTCTCCAAATATTTACTTACACACTTCTAGATTCAGCAGTCCTATTTTTCTAGTTCTAACAGTTTAGTAGTTCTGCCGTAGTAGTTTTTGCATGCCTCTGTCCTGTAATACAATCCTTTTGAACTGAGGACTCATTCTTAATCCATTAATCCAAGATGGATTTGGAACTTGCTAGCTGCAAAAGGGTTCAGGACTGAAACGTGCTCTCATCAAGGTAGTAGATAATTTTGGTATTTTGTCCAATGTCTGACAGGGCCTTGATCCCAAACAACCCTGCACTTTACTACTGATGCTTTCTGAGTAGATGGATGTTATTTTGCCAGTAATGCCCAGCGTTTTGATCTCTTTGGCACAGTGTTCAATAGACACATTGTGTGCCTGAAAAAATGAATTATAGTGCCTTGGTTTATTTCCAGCTTCTTGGTTTTAGAGCTATCTGCATACCAGATATAGACTATATAAACTGGGAGCCTGTTCTCTCAGTTTGCTCTATCGAGTATTTTGTGATATATGTACATACTTGGTAAACTGAAAATGACCAAGAACAGAAAATCTCACGTAGTTGTTTTTCCTATTTCCTCTACAGGCTACTACTGCCTTTTGTTCATTTTTCTTTCTTCATTATAATAAAAATCCAGTTTAATTAACCTTTAGCTGTGTGTCATGAATTAATAACTAAAAAAAATTGTACAGACAAAAATATTTGGCTCAAATGGCTTATCAATGCAAATATTTGAATCGGTTAAAAGGTCAATATCATTTAAAAAAATACAGTACAGATTCAACAGTTTACGAGAGTATTCAAATCTGGGAAATAAACTGTAGCAAATCCGTTGACAGAGTTTCTCATGTATGACTTATAGAATGCAGTGCGGCACAACCTATCACTTCACAAATGTTTCATGAGAGTGGAAAACATAAAAGGTGCAGTTTGGACTGTGGATGAAGTAGAGTTCCATAAAAGGCGTCCTCAGCGCTGTATCAGCGGGTACGTCAAGTTGGAAAGGTTTAGCCAACTCCGTTATTGACTTGCCACAAGTATACCGATTGAGGGTTTTTGACTTCTTTAAATATTTTTCACTTTTTCGCTCTTTCCACCCTTTCCTTATTTAAGACACAGTCACCTATGTANAATTTGTGGTGTAATATTGATATATGTATATATATGTAAGTTGTGTATATATGTATATCCTTTACTCTGTGTTTGTGTATGGCTTATTGGCATGTTTATTTTATCATAGTAAGTGCAAACCATTTGTTAGAATGCGCATTTAATACAAATGTGCCATTCTAATAAGGACCGTGGAAACTGGGAAAAGAAGGTACAACTACATCTAAAACCAGGTAAACCTTGATCGGGTTATACATTGTGGCACAGCACATAACGGCGGTTCGTTCAAAATTTCTTCATTTAATTCTCTTTCCACTTTTTTCTCTGTTTTTGTTGTTGTTCATTTTACGTTTTCTAATTCATTACTTGTCGTGATGGGAATTTTGTCACAACTGTGTGTTCTCTATGTACTTTATACAGAACGCAATCCGCACCAATCTCTCTCTGCACAAGTGTTTCGTGCGGTATGAAGATGATTTCGGTTCATTCTGGATGGTGGATGATGCTGAATTTGTCAAGAGGAGGCACCTGTCACGTGGGAGGCCTCGGAAGTATGATCCTACACAGTGCACAACACCATCTATCCTGTAAGGCCCTCTTACAGCTCTCGATTCGCCTGCTTTTCTGCTTGCCTTGCCACTGGCTGCAAAATTTCAGCTCTCTGGATGTGCCTTGCATAAAAAGTGGCTTCTTTCCTCACAAATGGTACAAAAATCTATTCTCATTCAAAATGGCTCTTTTTTTGGAAAATGCTGATGAAGACAGTGAACTTATTTGGCCAAAAATATACAAAACTAATTTTTATTGTAACAAATTAAGTAAGAGAAGACATTTGGAAAATGGATCTATTTTTAAATACCACAAAGGTCAGAGTGTTGCCATGACAACCCATCGCTGGAAGGTCCTGGAACCCGATGTACTTCTAAATAGGTTTGTTCCAGTGGAAAAACACCAAAACCTCCATGAAATACTAAATAATTATCAAAATCAATGGTCTTAATAAATATCAAGTAAACATTATTTAGAGATCGTGACCAGACCGCATCTGATGATCTCTAAATAACGTCTTAAAAAGAATCAACTTGAATGTACTTCTTTGTGCCACCCTCAGTGAAGAACTTCCTAGTCCAGAAAGAATAACAAGATAATAATTAACAAAGTAAGTCAAATCGATTTCTGTTCTGAGGCCAAATAGAGTCAAATGTCTCTCCAAATTAAGTAATGATCAACAAATCTCAATTGATATTTCTGAAGAACACAACTGTAAATTAGTACACAAAAAAATTTTAAATTAATTTTTTTGGAATTTTTAAATAAAAAAAATGATCACAATACTAATACTTAAATTGTAAGAATTAAAAATTATTCTTTAAAGGATAATCCGCAATTAGAGAAAAATTAAATAATTTACAATTTTAATGTTTTTTCTGATCGATTTGGCAATTTGGTATACTGCAGAAAGGTTCAGGGCTGATAGGCGTCATATCTGCCTTCTTGGTGTCCCTCTGCCCTTTATTATCTGCCCAAACAAGGGTAATTTTGTTGTCTGACAAGACCCAAACTCAAGGCTCACAAAGCTTTGCTAGCCATTGTGGATCCTTCAGGCCTTATCTTTTCTCTCCCAGGATCAGATAGGTACAATCATGATTTGTCGAAAAAAAATCCATCCCATTGTGTGTAAGGTTTATCAACAATACTATGTTAATAAAACAAAAATCTTTATCAGCATTGTTTCATTCACTGCCATTTATAACGTGTTGTAACATTTGGAGGCAAGAGAGTATGCTAAAAATAGCCCATTCATAAATAAATTACAAGTAGATGGTGTCAGAAGTCCCACAGCTCCCCTAATCCCATCAGAAAGGTAAGTTTTGTCTTTCCATACCACCGAGTTCTAAGACTACACCAATTAGCGGTGTGTGTTGAGGGCAAGGATTGGACAGTTGTAGAAGTTTTGTAATATAAAATTTGAAACTTATAACTTTGTGGTAGTGTTAATTTAGTACAATATGTCTTGGACAAAATTGTTTTAAAAAATCTGTTTTTATTTATTTAATTTNCTTACAGTATCCAAGGTAAGTTTTTATAACCAAGTCAAAAAGTTTTTTAAAATTATTCTTAACTTTTTTCTCATTTTTGTATCACTATTTTTCTTTCCCCCTTTTTTGTTCATGCTGCAAGTAAATTTTTCTTTCTAACATCTGTTTATAAATAAATATTACATATATTTCATATTTTCAGGGATCTTGCACTTGACGATACATTGAAATGTTCCAGGTTATACAGTGACGCTATTAATACATCTTTACAGGTAAACATATACATAAAAACCTGTATTTGTTTTAATTTATGTTATTCTCGCTCCTCCTGATTTTAAAAAATCAATGTAATGAGTAAGTTTCATTTCGAGGATCAACATCTATACATTTATTTAATGATAAATTCTACAAATAAAATAATGAAGAGATATCTTATTGGTTATTTATATACATTTTAATTTAATTTGTATGCTTATCACTTGATAATAAAAATTATTTTAATTGCTGAAAAGGGGTATGTAAAAAGTGTCTTAATCAAAATGTAAATGGACATCTGTAATATAACCTAACCTGTCCCTGACATAACTATAATCCTAATTAATTACACTTTTTATCTCAACCAAGACCTTAGATAAAATGTATAATCAATTTAAATGATTAATACGGTCAATTATGTCTACTAAATACATATATGAATTAATATAATCCTAACCTTAACATTACTAGAAATATAGTTAATATAGTCCTAACCTCAACTGTCTACTAAATATAACACAAATTAACCTAATCCAACCCACATGCACTCATTCTTTTATAAAAATAAAATAAGTTATTTTAAACAAATGTTATTTGTGTTAATTGAAATTAATAAATGAAAAAGGAGATGTAAGTAGGTTTCAAATGGGGTATCTTTAATATTAATAATATTAAAGATGAGAAAAAACGTTAAAGATAAAAACGTTAATAAAACTCTGACTTTGCACTTGCAAATATTCTCCACTTTATGTAAAAACATTAAATCATAACCTTAACATTCTATTTAACTATTCTTAACCTAACGCTAAGTCACCCTACCTAACTATAATAATGCCCCACTTAAGTATTCCTAACCTAACCTGTCCCTAATTTTACATAAGCTAACTATTCCTGACCTAACTCTCTAACCTACTTAACTGTTCCTAACCTAACACTAACTCTACTTAACCTAACTATAACCATGCTTAATTTTACTATTCCCAACCTAACTTGTCTCTTACACAAACCTGAACGCTATCCAACCTAACTTACAATAACCCAAATGCTATCTAACCTAACCCATCCCTAGTACTAACCCTACTGCTACCTAACCTAACCTGCCTCTAACACTGACCTTTACCTACCATAATCTGCCCCTATCACTAACTCTAATGCTTCTTTTCCTATCTAAACCCATCCCAAACACTAATCCTAACACTAACCCTAACGCTATTTAATCTAACCTAACCCAATCCTAAAGGCTTTTAACACGTTCAGGGTGGGAAATTTCCTGGGAATGCAATTTCCTCCTCCTGGACAGTAAAAATTTCCTTGAAACTATCTGCATCATTACCTGCATATGGGTCATCTGTCTGGCTGGTTGGGCCAGTTTAGTGCAGGTCAGCAGCACTGAATGTGTTAACCTAACCTAACATAACTTGCCCCTAATACTAACTCTAATCTGGCCCATGTGCACTAATTATTTTGTAAAACAAAATTCAAGCAATTACTAAGCACATGTTACCTGTTTACATGCATTTATTTTAAGTAAATGTATATAAAAATGAAATAGCAATGTTAGTAATATTGGCCTCGTTTAAGAAATGTGATGGATGTGTAAAATGTTTGCTACATGGAATTGTAAAATAATGATAACAAAATTACAGGCAACAAGGACTGAAAACGCATCATTTAAAACACTGATGAACTCATTACCTGCTCCCCCAGATGATGGTCCACCTTCGCCAAAAAAGAAACGGTATTTTTCTTTTCATTTGTATAATGACAATATATGTTAATTTTGAAATTGAGAAGGGGAACATTAATTTAGTTTATGATTTTTGTTAAAAGACATTTTAAAGTAATATTAGCTTTTTTGTTAGTCACAAACAACCTGAAAGCTAAATTTTTATATTATATATTTAAAACAAGGCTTTATTATATTCTGTATTGTATCCCATGTCATTTTATTATATTTGCTCATAAATTTTTATTTATTTTTTACCTGATTCTGTTTGTAGGCAGTTCTAATGATTTTTTTGTTTGTTTAATATACAGATTGATAATAATTTAATATATTGTCAATTTAAAAAAAATGATTAGTAGATTTTGAACTGTAGTACTTTAATTTAATGTAGTAATAATTTACATGCACAATTGTTGAAGGTTAAGCCAAGAAAGGAGTCCCTCATGCGAAATACCGATCAAGCAAGAATCAGGAAGGCTAGCCTTTAACAAAGAACAAGAAAGTGAAGAGAGTAACGCTGAATATCAACAAAGGAGTAATGAGTATCACAACATGCCCGAGAGTCAAGAACTCTGTGAAAATCCTGTTCAAGATCTTTCGATACCAGAACAATTACCACAGAGCGGTGTACCAGAATCGTAACGGTGAATTATGTATATGTATATATCTATGTATATGTATGTATATATAAATATATACATATGCATTGTTTTTTTCTATTGTACTTCAAATAAAAATATAAATGAAAAAACTTTTTTTGTATATTTATCACACAACGTACAAACCAGTAGTACATAATTTAATGAATAAATATACATATTAAAAAAATCATGTTGTACATAATTTTATTTCCCAAAAAAGGGATAAATTATAAATATATTGTACATTTGCTAGTGTTATTTCTATTGAGATGCGTAGATTAAAAACCAGTAGATAATTTAAATTTTGTACATTACAATTCACTTTTTTAATTTCTTTTTGTACAAATGAATTTGTAAAAATATATTCTTACAATGAGATTGTCGTTTTAATTGTAAAAAGACTTGAGTTTTTGTCAAACATTTTTTACAATTAATATATAATTTTCTTTTAAATCAGCAACCCCCATGGTTTATTATTGGTTAGGAGGAAGAAGTAAATAAAGATGTCGTTAAAAAAATCTTACCCCTCTAATAAAATCAATTTTATCTAATTTAGCATCAAAATTGTGCATGGTTAAATAAAAAATAAATAAATAAAAATAAAAACACATCACTATGTTCAAACATTACTATTACACTTTATTTGATTATTTTTTATTATTCATGATAAGTTAAAAAAAGTATCTGTTGTCCCGTGTATCAATAAAATATACATTATTTACAACAAATAAAAAAGTGACACATTTCATTAAATACATAAATAAATAAAACAGTAAAATTTCTCATCTGATTTATAAAATTCAGCATTGACTATGTGATAAACTCAAATAAAACATTTTAAAATCAATTAATTAAATCATTTCGAAGCTACATAAACCATCCTACAATACAGTGTAATATTAAAAATAAGTGAGAAGGATGATATTACGAGAGAGAAAAAAAAAAGCCCAAGGACAATAGTTGGATCATAGGAATATTTCCTTTGGTGTCTTCATTCTTTTATAATCAAGGTTTCAAGTCACCACAAGAACAATATAGAAATGATTCAAATATAAATTGTTTACCTTCTTTTATGTTACAAAAGAGCTAGTGTGCTACAAACAACTTCACTAAATTTATGAATTTGATATTACCTATTAGATTATAAGATGGACCATCCATAATCCAGCAAACTTAACTTGTCCCTACCCTTACCCCTAATCCTAACCAAACTCTAAACCAACTTTACTTCATTATTCCTAATCAATCCTAACCTGTGCCTAATCCTACCTAACCTAACTTGTCCCTAACCTCATTTAAATATTCCTATCCTAACTTTAATGATACATAACTTAACTATTCTTAACATAAACCATTTTAAATCCTACCTAACACCCAATCAGTTTCTAACCTTAACTATTCCTAACCTAACCTGTTTCTAATCTTACACAACCTAACTTGCCTCTAACCTTCTTAATTATTCATAACCTAATGCTAACTCTACCTAACCTAACTATAACCATGCCATTTAACTATTCCTAACCTAACATGTCCCTAATCTTAAATAACGTAACTATTCCTAATTGAACATGTCTCTAACCTACCTAACTATTCCTGATCTAATGCTAACCCTACCTAAACCTAACTACAACCATGCTTAAGCATTCCTATCCTATCCTAATCTTACATAACCTAACTGTAATCATGCCCAGCTTAAGTATTATTAACCTAACCTGTTCCTAATCTTACATAATTTAACTATTCCTAACCTAATTTGTCTTTAACTATTCCTAAACTAACATGTCCCTAATCCTATTTAACCTTACCATCCTTGAACTAATGTATCCCTAACCTTAGCATACCTAACTCTAACCCAATCTAACTTAATTATTCCTAGCCAATCCCGTCCCTAATTCTATTAAATGTAGACATTCCTAACCTACCTTAACTATTCCTAATTTAACTCTAACTCTACATAATTTAATTATTCCTAACCTAACCTACCCCTAATTCTATCTAGCTTAACCATTCCTGACCTAACCTGTCCCGAACCCTAATTAACCATTAATAACGTAATGCAAACCCCACTTAACCAAATCTTTGAGCAACAATTTGTAGGAATTTGAACTGGAGCATATTCTTTGGTGGTTGGTATGTTTGGTCGAACCAAAAATTCAATTCTATCTTGATTGGTTGTTGCCATGATGTTTATATAAGGTTTTAACGTGATGGTTTCTATCTGTTGTCAGTCTTATGAGTTGATTATATCGTCATATCTATTCTTTTAAGCCTAGTGTAGGGGTTTCAAGTAAGTCTTTTGCCAAATGTAAAGCCCCGCATGGCGAACTTGATTGGCATAAGAGCAAAAGTTGTAATTTGGTGGAGGGTGAAGGTTCATCATTTTTCCATTTCTTGAACCATTCTTTCAAACAGGAGAGTTGGTTCTAAATATTTCTGAAAGCCACTGAACCTTGATTTGGCTGAAAGGGTGGCACTATTGTATGCATATGTGAAAAATATCTGGATTTTACGGTGAATTAATAGAAGGATGCCCTTGTGTTTTGAGTTGATGCCCTGTAAATATAATATATCTAGATAGTGTTCAAAGAGTTTATTTGGCACTTAACACACTAGACCACTTTGATGCCAAAAAATGGATTTTTGTGTTGCAATGAAGGTTGTGTGATTTTTTTAAAATGATTTCATTTATTTAATATTTAATATCTAAATAATATAATATCTAGATAATATAATATATAAAATCTTGAGTTGCTTTACAAATTTCTTTTTTACTTGGTATTTATTGAGCACTTTTATTAAATTTCTCCGTGTTGTCTGCCAGGTGAAGAACCTGAAATTTGGTCTTTACTGATCATTTTGGTATGCCTATCGCTGTGCCGGTCGGGCCAAATAAAGAATAGGCAGACCAAGATGATCGGTATAATGACCAAATTTGAAATATATTTCAATCGCCTTTTATCCTATCCTCTTTAAAATTCATAACTCTCTCTTACATCATTGACAGAATAGCTCCCCCTCCTGAAATATAAAAAGACAATTGTCAATTAAAAAATTATATTATTTTTACATCTATTACAGTGAGTATTTGACTTTGATTTTCTTTAAATCTGTAACTGCTGTCGCTGAGTTTTACTCTATTGAAAATATTTAATACAATAAACAAATTGCTCCCTTACCAAGGCAACATTAGCAAGAGCTGTTTTAAAAAGCACATAATTAATGTCATCAGCATAATAAGAAGAGCCAGAATACCCAATAGGACAGTATAAATGTATGTATTCACTTTACCAATTTTCAGGACAACTGAAACACGTTTAACACAAAGATTAATCATTGCAATTTCTTATTTATTTACTTTTTATAAATATCTACCGACCAGTGCTTTGTTCAGTTGTAAGAAATATTGGATTCGTTCCAGCAGATAAACCAGCAGGGTTTATTGAAAAAGCTCCGCAAACATAGCTAGATTTTTCCATTAAACCGGAAATATTAACCAGCACAACATCTTGCAATGTTTCCTCCTGGAATGATTTTCACCTATTACGAACAAGTACACATTTTTTTTTTAATGTAACATTACTTACAATAACGAAGGAAACCGTATTCGGCCCGTGACATGCAGCGATGTAACTGCTATTGACACAAAAATGCTTTTCCACTAACCATCTTAAAATAACCCAATTTTTATCGATAATCAGAGCAGAACCATTTTTAAGAGCATTGCTAGCTGAAATTTACCAATTTTTTTAGTCTTTTTAATAGATATAAAACCATAATATCAAGTACATAGGTTTATTTTAGAATGTAATTTGTTGGAAACAATTGAGGAGAGTTCTATGGAGGTTTATAGAAAACCAAACCATCCTACCTCTCAGAATGAAGAGATAGAGAGATAGAGATAGATAGATAGATAGAGATAGAGAGAGAGAGAGAGAGAGAGAGAGTGAGAGAGTGTGTGTGTGTGTGAGAGAGAGAGAGGGGGTGAGACAGAGGAGAGAGAGAGAAAGAGAGAGAGGATAATCTAAACTTAACCCGTCCCAAACATTCATCCTAAACATTATCTAACTTAACTTGTCCCAAACATTCATACTACATTCATACTAAACATTATCTAACCTAACAACCCATCCCTAACATTAATCCTAAACATTATCTAACTTAATCTGTTTCTAACACACAATTCCAACCTTTACCCTAGCATAATCTAATCTGCCCCTAACACTTCCTTACCTAACCCACACCTTACACTAAACGTAACCCAACCTACGCACAGTAATTATTTTGTAAAACAAAATTGGAGTAATCATTAAACAAATGTTACCTGTTTAAATTAATTTATTTTAAGAAAAATGTAAAACGTAAGATTGTAATGATACTAAGTGCTATTCTCTTACCCAAATCATTAAGAAACACCTTTTACTAGGCAATACACCAACAACAAGGAATTTCCGACATTCACATAAGTGAAATAGTTAGGGACATACATAAAAAGCTGACTGTCGTCCTCCCCCCACACAATGACAAGAACTAAATAGAATACAATTAAAATGACTGCTTGGACCAAAAACAGACATGTTGTAACAATCACTGAACAAAACAATAATTCGACCTATTTGGATGGACAAGAGCAGAATTGTGGTGTATGACAAAGCCACCTGGTATCCAACCTGTATAAGCATTCCAATCAAAAGCCCTCAAAGAATTCTCCAAGCTCAATACTACGTCTTTAACCTCACCATCCAAAACGACCTTCCTGAAGTTACCCTCTGACCTATAAGGGTCTCAGCTTATCCCTTCCGTTCAAGCCATCTCTACTTTCCCCCTAGAATCCTCCACATTGACATAAAAATAATTGTTCAAATAGAAACTTTAGACAATTGTTATATCTACTTAAATGGCTTTCAAACCGGAGACTTGTGAAAATATTCCAGGCGCTTTTATCTGTCGTTTCATACTGTCAAGCGGGTATATTTCGATCGTGTAGTTTATACAAGGCCTGATGTTGATTTTCAGCTCCGTCTTATTTACGACTTCAGTTTTCCCATTGCAGTCTGTACAGTTTTCAGATGACAACCAATGGACTTCATAGCTGTGGACCTGATTCTTATACCTTTCCCGACATTCCCATTTGAATTCCATGATCTGGTGGTCGACATAAGTCACCCTTGATGAATTAATTACACTATAACCTACAATGAAAAATTGAAAATATAAAACAATATTCTAAGGGCATGGTGAAAAATTAGATTCAAAGATTATAAGCATGTATAAATAAAATTGGGCAGTTCCATGCAAACAAATTTAAAGAAAATGAACACATAAAAGTTAAGCTACCATCTTTTCCTTCTCTCCCCAAAAAAATTTTAAGCATCAATGTTACTTATCACCTGGACATTCATCTGTGTTGCAATAGCTCCCGAATGTGAAATTGATACAAACTACAATCAGGAGGGTAAGACAGAACATTTTTGACTGACAGTAGTCATGCATTAAAGACTGATGTTAATCGAATTGCATTGTATGTAAATTCAGTTAATTACAATTGAAAATAATCTATTCAATGAATACGTTTTAAATTTTTTACATTTGTTTTATTTGCCATTCTATTGCCAATTAGGTTCCATTATTAATTTTTTATTGGAAAAGTTATATTTTATTAGCTGTAACTGATTATCTTGTTCTACCTATCCTGGGCCCTGATTAGGGAGTGAGTAAATCTATGGAAGTGGTTTAACATGAGTATTCAAGGGATGGGAGATAGTAGAGATAGCTTCAGTGGAGTATTTGTGATTTTTATAGGGCAGAAACATATCTGTCAAAGCAAAGCAAAGAGGATAGACAGATCAAAATTGTACTGATAATTAAAAGGGATAGGAGCGGGGTCATAGGTTATGATTAGGTTAGGTTACATATGATTAGGTTATGTAGGGTTAGGATACATATTCAATGTTTTTTCATGAAGTGAAGAAAACAGAGAGAGAAAATCTCCAGTTTTTATTCCCTCTGCCTGTTTCTGTCTGCCATCCATCTCTCTCTCTCTCTCTCTCTCTCTCTCTCTCTCTCTCTCTCTCTCTCTCTCTCTCNCTCTCTCTCTCTCTCTCTCTCTCTCTCTCTCTCTCTCTCTCTCTCTCTCTCTCTCTCTCTCTCTCTCTCTCTCTCTCTCTCTCTCTCTCTCTCTCTCTCTCTTCTCTCTCTCTCTCTCTTTCTCTTTTTCTTCCTCTTTCTCTAACTAAATCATTGCTCGCATGAATAAACCATTGATCTTTCTTTCTTTCTCACTCACTCTCTCTCTCTCTCTCTCTCTCTCTCTCTCTCTCTCTCTCTCTAACAAATCTCATGCATTTCAATACAGCCAAACTGAATAATTTAGCCAATGTTTATCCGAAAATTGCACTGGACAAAAGATTAATAAATGAAACTAAATTGATGTACAAGCTCATCACGCTTATTATTGTTAAATAAAAAAATCATGATACAGTGGTGTACTTACATACATATATACATATACATTTTACAAATTAAACAATAATGATGAATGGTTCTTTATAAAACATTAAGACAAAATGGGAAAGTAACTAAGATTATTTTATAATAATAAAAACTGATTCCTCTTTGTAACATTTCAATGAATAAATATCGCTCTCATTCGCCTCAAATGTAAGAAAAAATATTCATCATATTATTTAGTCTCTATGACTAGCGTTATTCACTCTTCTTCTAAAATGGTCCCTTGAAAATTTCTTAGAAAATGTAGTTACAATCATACATATAAAATAGTTTAACTTATAGTTAGAATTATAATATAAAAATTAACTTCTTTCAATTAATTAATCTTTATCTAAGGTATTGGTTGAGATAAAAAAGTCAGTGCCACGAGCGGGATTTGAACCCACGATCTTCAGCTAAATACACCACTGCTCTACCACTGAGCTATCGTGACTTCAATCCACTTGAACACCAACTTCTCATCTCAACCCACCTTTCAAATTTTCCCTCCTATTTGCCATTTTTCAATTTTTTATCTCAACCAATACCTTACATAAAGATTAATTAATTGAAAGAAGTTATTTGGTCAATCGGACCACAAAATATAATGGATTTAATAAAAATTAACATTTATCTGTATTTTTTATGGTCTGTTGAAATATGATAGTAAAGTATATGATTTTAATCATTGATATGAAGCCTCCAAATTATATTGAATGTATATTTAAAGGCTCTTATAAGAAACCATCTGAACTCAAGAGTATACACTAAGTACTTTCTTTTCTTAAGCTAAAATTTATATTGTTCTGAACTCATTGAAAACAACCGGAACAATATTTCTTTTTACCATAAATTAATCTTTAAAAAAAAATTGTGCATTACTAATTTAGTAAGCATTATCATAATAAAAGTGACTAGTACCAATTCACCACTAGCCTTACACTGCATATTCAAACAACCTTTGAGTATGATCGCGTTAACATGTAACATGTCAAGAGTACAACACTTTTGCAAACTGACAATAAATAAAATACATAAACAGAATGGTTCAATAAGAGCGAATTAGACATGTTAAATACATTTGGCACATATTGCAGAAGTATTCACAATTAAGACATGCTTAGGCATAAAATTTAGTTAACAATTTGCTAATTTCATTTTATATCAGGTTTTTTTTTCAAAAATACAAATATCATTCATTATGGCAATTTGTGTTTTCATCGCAAAAATACAAAATATATATATTTAATGACAATTTTACATTTCAATAATAGTCTGTTTTCTTTACTCCGTTTGTTCATTATCAGCTTGTTTGGTAAGTATTGACTCTGTTGTGTTAGATATCACTTCTGGAGATGCTGAAGTTGAAAATGGACTTGTTGAAGTTGTTTCTTCAGATTGTTCTCCTGGAACAGCATTAATTTAAATTAAATGATTATTTACATTATAATTTTTAATATGGATATGTTTTTTCACTTTTTATATTTTTGTATCTTCCATGAATTTTTTATTTCAGATGGTCAAACATTTTTACTCATTAGGCCGAGTAAGGTACTGAAGAAATATGCTTAGAAAGAAAGCAACATGCTTATACAATAGTATTCTGGCAGGGATGATGGAAAAGTGTTGATGCTTTACTGGTATATCACAATTCCACATAAGAACATGTTTACTCATAGGTTGAGTTGAGTTAGGTTAGATTAGGAATAGTTAGGTTATGTAAGGTTCGGTTTAGAAACTGATCAAGCTACATTTTCTACATATCTTTTGAAATGACAATATTAATTTACCTGTCAGGTCTTGGCTATGTATAAATGTTAGAAAACTTAGCATTTAAAAATTTTAAACACTTAAAAAAGTATTAGGTTAGGTAGATTAGGAAAGGTTAAGTTATGTTATTACAGTAGGTTAGGCTAGGCTGGATTGGGTAAGGTAGTGTTAAGGTTAGGTGGGTTAGTTCAGAATAAGTTAGGAAGGGTATGGTTAGGTTAGAAATGCTTGTGTTAAGTAGGTTTAGGGTTAGGGAGGGGTGAGGTTATATTTTCTTTGATTTTTTAAAATAATGAGACAATACTCATTATTTAAAACAAATTAATTTATTTATTAGTGAAAGTAAATTTAATTGATTTATTTATTACTAAAATTGAAATATTGNATATATTTTTGACAGAAAATATGACAACTTATGAAACATCTAAAAACTAAAAAACTGAAGGTAAGGAATGTGTAAGGCTAGATTGGGTTGGGTTAAGTTAGGTTAGAAAAGGTTAGGAAAGTTGAGGTCATATTTGGGTAGGGAGTTTTAGGGTTAGAGATGGGTTAGGTTAGTTAGGGTTAGGGTTGGAGAGGGGTTAGGTTACATTTTCTTCAGATTTTTAGAAATAATGTGACAAATATCAATTCAGCTGTTATCTTTTCTATGTAGATTTGTCAGAAAAAATCATATCAAACATTTAAAAATAATGTATGAAGAATATATTAAAAACTACTTTTAGCCAGCAAAACTAAATAAATACAAATATTATTATTCTGAACATCAATAAAATGTGTATATCTGATGAATTATGATGTGAAACATGTCTGTTAATAAAGCATATATAGCTCATAACTTGTTTTGCAATATTCAATCTGTTAAAATTTATGTGTGTGGTATATTGAACAAATCAGCTTTTTTTTTCTAATTAGACTGCCACAGGGATGTTTCTGTATTTAGGAGAAAGAGAGAGAGTTTGAGAAGGGGGAAGGCAATTGCAAATAGTTGCAATCAACCTAGAAAATTGATATGGATATTTTCTCAGGATTTTAAGAAACACAGTTACAAATAATTCAATACACCCAAAATTGTAACTAACTAAAAACTAAAACTGTAACTTTAATAGTCCAATCTATTAAAGCCAATTTTAGATGTGATGAAAATACCAAGATCCAGAAATAGTTGAAAGAAGACCAAAGAAATAGACAAGCAGTGAGTTGACTTATGATGATCGTAGAATGAAGGGTGCACATACGATGTAGTTTGTTAAACGAAGATAAAATGGAATTTGGAAAATCAATTACAAGAAATTAGAAGGTAATAAAAAATGTAAATAAATTTTGTGTGTAAAATCTAGTTTTCCTCATATACACAGAATTGAAAATTGTATTAATCGAAGAGGCATTAAAAGCGAACAGAGAAATTGATAAAAAATGAAAACGTGTGAATGTTCACATTATAAACAACAACATAAACCCTTTCCACCTGAAATATGAGGAAAACATGCCAGAGAAGTCTGACTCCTGACATGCAGAGCTAAAGTAATGAATATATATGAATACAAATTTTTAAAATTTACTTTTGACCACTATTTTCTTTCGATTGAAAAACTGGCATTGTTGTGCATTATGTATGCCGTGATTATGATATGCCATGTTTAATTATTTTTTCAAGTGTTATTTTTAATAAGTAAAAGACTGATATTGTGAAATGTAACAGTAAATCCATTTTTCCCACCCTTCCTATTGGTAAATGGATATATTACCATGTGTCAAAAGTTTTTCTATAGAAATGATTTAGTGCAGGATAGGTTCTTCTAGCATTCCCAATTCTAGCCAAGGACGTCTGGTGAATTCCATTTCTCGGTTCCTCTCTTCTGTTGACATAATGAATAAAGTGTATACTAAAAGATACATTTTTTATTCTCTGTCTTGCTATGCGTTTTTTTTTTTTCGAAAAAATCAAACAGGCCTGAAAAACTAATCTTATCTCATTAACAGTCAAAAAGCTTAACTTTTGACCATTTCCGACAAATATTCAAGTTGATCTTTCAATACTATTTTGAGATAATTTGAAACTCATTCTGTTTATTGTTAAAACCATTCACTGGTCAAAAATGATACTAAATAGTCTATCAACTTAACAATAATTAAACACATCCAAGAAGCTTGAATGTTTAGGAGAATGCTGCTAGTTAGCCCTAGTAATGGTATTAATACCACAATTATTTGGAGGTTAGAGTACTGGGATTGGGTAAACATTAACTGTGTGTAATATTTAAGAGAAATAACCAGTTTGTGAAATGTGAAGTGACCTTATAAAAAATAGAAAACCGTCAATAGCCTTGGTATATGTTTATTATTTATTGTCAATGCATTTTGGCTTATGTTACAGATCTCATTTTTTACTCTTACTTGACACTCGGCTCATCTTGGTCTCAAGATTTTCCATGTCACTTTGGACCATCCTGGTCTGTCAACTTTACTTGGCACTTGACTCCTTCTAGTCACAAGATTCTCCTTGTCGTTTGAGTTTCCTGGCCTCAGGATTCTCCCAGTCACTGGATTCAACTGGTCTGTCAACTCTCTTGGTCTCATGATTCTTTTTGTGTGTCAACTTTACTTGTCTCATGATTTTTTTTGGTCTCTGAAATTTCCTGATTCGTTGACTCTGTTGGCGTTTTAACTCCTCCTGGTCTGTCGACCCTTCCCATGTCTCTACTCTAGATTTTCCAATCATCCAGTTTTAAATTAGTCTCCCAAACAATGTTGGAGGGAAGAAAAAGCAAATTCCTGAGGTCTGACTGACAATGCCATTTTGGGCATGTTGCTGATGACCCTAGGCCATTCAACTAAAGCACATGCAACACCTTGTAATTTCTTAGAGCTTCCATTACGCAGCTCTTAGTCCCTCAATGCTCCTCAGTTTTAGGGGCACAAAAACTATCCAGTTGATGCGATCCACTCCAAATACAAATCTAAATGTTCACATCATTAATTTATATTGGATATTTTCACATTCCTGAAGGGTGCAAATGGATTAAAAGCCTGAGCAAGAAGAGTAATTTTTGTTGATTCTCTCCTCCTTATAAAAGGTCTCAACCACAATTCTCTAACCTCCAAAGGATTCTATTTTGTATTCAATCAATATTTTTTCTAGGTGTTAATATAACGTTAATCTAATATATTGCGATTCACACATCAAAAAATTTTGTGATTATAATTTCAATAAAGACAACACTAACCTGTATCTACTTCATTGTCATCTTCATCCAGGCTAGGTGAAATAGGTATGTCCACTTCTATAATTTCAGGCGATTCATTTTCAGGTAATTCAGGTACCATCTAGAAATAAATTCCTTAAAGTAAACACTGCAGGTGTTTTTACTGTTAATTATAAGATACAGTTAATTTTTTTATATACTTATAACTAACTAATTAATTTTACCTCTAAATGCGCTGCTCTTACATAAGCCATTGGACTATCCATGGTTTCATGGTCTGATTCGCTATTTATGTCATCAGCTTCTATCTGCAGTATACATTCAATGCTGCCTGTGAACTGTACATAAACATTCTGTTAACACTGAACAAAACACCAAATTTAAAACTCATGTGTACAATTATAATACACAATTTTCATGAAAAATAATTATTCGATAACTTACCACAAACCCATAGAATCTCAGGATATCCATTTTGCACATTGGACATGTTCTGTGCTCTAACAGCCAAGGATCTATACATGACTTATGATATTCATGCCTGAAAAAATTAAAATATTATAAAACTAACTATTAAGGAGTCAAAAACAAGTAGGGTTATTCAATAGCAATAACTAAACACAGCTTTATTTATTTATTTTTGTAATGTTGTAGATCCCGTTATATTTTCATATAATAAATTCCCATGCTAAACAGTTATTAGTCAAATAAACTAAGATGCAACACATGTGCTTATTTCACATCCGCCCAGTGATCACAAGTCTGTAAATATTTCTGGTAATGTGCTTGAATGGTTTGTTTGTGTGTTCTTTGAGACGTTTGTTGGTTATATATGTAAATATATAGACAGTTTTTAATCCTCCCTATAAATTGTATTAAATTAAAGTATTGAATTGATATAAATTAATCAATTTGAAAGTATCTTAATGAAATTTTAAATGAGGTTTAAATTGTTATTAAGAGACTTTAAAAAGTTAGAGTAGGTGTTAGGCTAGGTAGGGTTCAGGTAGGAATAGGTTATGTGAGTTTAAGTTATATAAGGGGTTAGGTACATTTAGGTACATATCCATGACCCAATACTTCTCTGTGAAGGTTTATATATATNAAACAATAAAAACTATAAAAACCGATTTTGTTTTACAGGTATATCAACGATTATAAATCATGTAATATATAATTTATTAACAATTTTTTTTTACACAACAAAGCTGTCTATAGTCTAACCTTACTCAGAAGATAATGTGTGAAGCACTTGAATTGAGATGGTTTTAAGAAAGAGAGAATGATGATAAAACATGTACATTGCTGAAATGAACTGTCAAAATTTAAATTGATACCACTCACTTAATTTAACTATACAAAGAATAATTTAAAGGGCTAAAATATTGTACTGTAATAAAAAAATTATTTACCTGCATGGTAGAATCCTTATCATTTCATGAATTTTAAACGAATCAAAGCATATAACGCAGTCATCGATATCATCTTGTGAATTTTCCTTTTAAAATTGAACAGATGAAATTAGTTGTTTTTTTTCCCCCATAAAAAGGGATTTTTGTGAATGAATTGTTGCATTGCTTACCAAATCTTCTGGCTTTATTCTTTTTGTTGGGATTTTTGAAAGAGCGGTGTGAGCGGCACTCATCATTCTCCTCTAAAATAATAGAATTGTTACAGGCGATATAAAACAAATTAAATAACACAAGTGAACTTACAGAAAGATTGTCTTTAGACTGCATGAGACGCGATCTCTTAACATAGTATACAACTACACCGATAAGTGTAGCCCCCATCAAGACAATAAAAGAAATACAGATGCACAATAACGATCTACAACAAATAAATTATATTATTTATCATTGTTAAACAATAAAGAATTGAAAAGAAGTTGACAGAAAATTGTTAATGATCATAGTGAGTGAAGGAAAAAGCTTTAAGCTTTTAACAATGAAAATTTTTATGTATTAAATCAGAGTGCAAAGCATTGTGGTTAGAAGGAAGAACTCACCTTGTTGTCGTTTATGGGTTAATAAAATTGTCTAATCTTTTGTAAATTAATAAATTTATTCACTAAATCTATTCTAAGGTCTTAGAAATAACAATTGTTTTCACATAAACAGTTTTTACTTGTGCAAAAACCTCATTTATGAGTAAAAAATATTGTCTTACTTACTAATTAATTAATTTACTATTACCTGACCAATAAACTTAAAAAATTCAATCTATAAAAATGTTTCAAGTTGGTAAGACTAGTCCTGAAAATTAAATATTACTTATTCTACTAAAAAAAAAAAAAAAATTATAATACGTTAATGTAAATAACAATTTTCATTGACTTCTTATTTGTATTTTCATTAAGCTTTCTCTGTATGTCTCTTGTAACCAAGTGAGACACATTTTTGTCACTACATACCTATTCCTTTGAGTGTCATAAGAAATCAATGTACTCGCATTCAGTAAACCTCGTGAGGAATCGGCTGGAGCACCTTTTACAGGCTTTAGAGGGTCTGCTTTTTGAAAGTACAAAAGGCACAATCTAAATATTGTCTTCAATTTTTCAAATCTAAAACAAACAAAAAAAAATCTAATAGCGCCTGACTGGGCCTCTTAATCAAGGTCCTCTCCAAAAAAAGAGCCCAATATTGTAAATTAGTCATTAGATTTATGTACAATATTTACATGTGGATCAAATTTAGATTTTATTTAAATGTGCACTTTTGCAATATGCTGAACAATTTAAGTGTGAAGTATTTACAGTCCAAAATGTTCTACAATTTAAAAGCTAAGTAATTTTTATGTTAGTAAAAACTAGGAACTACACAAAATATACCACATTAGCTTTCCTATATAACCTTGCTAATATGTAATAATCTATTAATAATAACAATAAAATTTAAAACACATACCAACAGGCTCTAATTTGAAAAATCTTTAATGCTAAGAGGTTAGTACACATTTAATCTACTCAATTCAAAAACCAAAAACTTTAACAATTTTTTTTAAAAATTATTATTACAAAGAGTGGAAGTAATCCATAAATTATACAAACATAAATCGTGAGGCCATGGGTTTTTTAGGCATCGTGGAAGGTTGTTCAGAGAGGTTAGGGATGAAAAGTGCAATGAGAGTCCTGGATTTAATGGAAGGTCTGTATTGGCTTCCTTCTGCAAGGATGGGCCATATCAATGAACAATGGAAATTGAAGGAGGAGAACCAGGTAGATGCCATATTAGGTATGCCAATCGATGCCACTATTCCAAAATATAACTCCATCAACAAATACAAGATAACCAGAAAGGGAAGAGTGGGCCAAAGGATGAGTCAAAATCGGATAGAGGCATGGGAGCTGGAATCCACAGGATGAATCTGAAGATTAAACTGACTTAAAACTTAGATAAATATGCTACAGTTTTCCAGTCTGAAATTATAACAATTGAACACTGCACCAGAGAAATAAAAAGGCTAAGAATACATTCCAGGAAGATTGTCATTTTCTCGACAATCAGGAGGCAATTTTTGTTTTTATTTGCTTAGCTTTTCACACTGGTATGATAGAACGCTTCGGACCTCTCTCAGGAGGCACATAAGGCATGCAAGGCAAAGGCAAAATGCTTATAGAATTGTACTAAATCCCTGGTAGAAGTCAGTGTCACCAATGACCTGACCTTGAGATGGTGCCCTGGGCATTTGGGACATAGAGGCAATCAGACGGTTGAGGCCCCAAACCCTATTGTTGCTTAGCACCTTGCCTTTAAATTAAACATGGGCTTTCCAAGTAAGCCTTTTGTCCATGTAAAGTCTCAGATTGTGGACATTGGCTGCAGTGATACTGGTTAAATGGCGAAGAATGAAGGTTGGTTTTCGTTGAGTCTGATCTTACAATTCTTGAACCATTTTTTCCAACAGAAGAGATGGTCCTGTAGGTTTCTGAAGGCCACTGGGTCTGGTTTTGGCTAAAAAGATGGCAGTACCTTGTAAGGAGTATGGGGATTGATATGATTGCCTGCAGTGTATACTGAATAGAGAATGGGGCCCAGCTGCCATTCATCATGTCTGAGATTGTCGGATAAGTAGAGTGCAAATAGAGAGGTTGTATTTTCATCAGAAGTGAACCAAGTTTCCTCACAATGAAGAGAAGGAACAGATTTACAAAAAAGGATTCTTCTTGTTGTAGTGCAGAACAGAGTATAATTTTAAATTAAACCTATCGTGTAACACACATTAACCTAAAATATTAATTGTGTAGAAAATAGTAATTCTCTTTATTAGTTCCCTTGCTACAGTTTATGCACCCCCTATTTAATACAGCAACTATCAAGAATCAGCTTCCAAGTATAACATGAGATTTATTTGCCTGATAGTTATATACACAACCAATTCTCAATTCATCTGAATTTTTACATTTATTTATTTAGTTTTTGCATAAAATACAGGATCTCTCGCTTGATTATTTTCACAGGTTAATAAAATATAAACTTTTTTTGACAGTTGTTTTACCTCATGGAATTCCAGAGAATATAGAATACTTTTTATTTCATACTTATCGGCTTGGTTGGCGTTCAATTGACCAACAAAAACACAGACCTCAAAACCCCAAATGAGTTAAGCATGCAACAATAAATTTATTCAGAAATATTTTCTTCACCTTTCAGTGTCATCGACTCTCCATTTCCCTGCTGAGACATACACCTTAATTTTGGAGCCATTTTTCATTAAGTTGATCAGTTCTTCGCCTTTCCATCTGTATGTAAAAACTGCTTTAATTGTATCCTTCATTTCCCCTTCTTCTTTTTCTAACCACTCATTTTCATCTGTAAAGGTCCAAGTTTAGTTTGTTAGTTATTACGAAAGAACAAACAAAATTTCTTAGATAAAAAAAAATATTATATGTAATTTATTAATATTTAACTGTATTAATATTTAGAATACTGATCAAGCCTTGTAAAATGGAAGAAAAATGTATATATCTACATTTACATATCAATGGTAAATATACCAGTCACAAGTGAAATTACTTGTCATGGATATGTAAACTAACCCAACCTCCTGTCTCCAAACCTGTCTCTAGCATAACCTATCTGGTTCCAAACCTTAACCCTGACCACCCTTATCATAAGCAAACCTACCATAACCATAACCCGTTTCTAGCCTTAACTCTTACATAACCCTAATTTTAATGTAAGGTGTTCCTCCTTAACCCCACCTTAACCTGATCCCGTCCCTAACCCTAAACTTAACCCACTCTGATATTACTCTAACTCGTATCTAGCCTAACTAAAACCGGTCCTAACCTTATCCCAAACCTGACTCTAATCTTAAACTCGTTCGTTCCTTCATTGCAAATCTAACTTATCTCTCCATAACCTTAATCTAAACGGTTCCTAACCTTAACCTAAGCATTAACCTCACCCTAACCAAACCTGTCCCAAACCAAATTTAACACGTTCCTCCCTAATGCTAACCCTAACCTAACCCTGACCCCGGCCCTAACCTTAACGTTAACCCGCTTCAAAACTTACTCTAACCCACATCTAACCTACCCAACCCGGCCGTAACCTTAAACCGTCCTAACCTAACCATAATCTTAACCTAATTATATATAACTTTAGTCCTAACCTAACCTGTTTCGAACCAAATTTAACACGCCTCTCTCTAATCTTTACCCATACCTAACCACAATCTTAACCTGGCCCCGGCCCTAACCCTAACATAACCCCACCTTTAATCTTATTGTAATCCGTATCTAACCTACCCAACCCGGTCCTAACCTAACTCTAATGACAAGCTAACCCGTCCAGAAGCTAATCTAACTTGATTCTCCATATCGTTAACTATAATACTACTTAACTCTAACTTAATAACGTTAACTCTAACCTTAACCCAACATAATCTAAATTAACAAGTCCCTAATCTTAATTTAACCTAGCCATAATCTAACTCCCTAACATTAACCCTAAAGTATCCCTACCAAAACCTCACCTAACCCCATCCTAACGTTAACCTTACCCTACGCTAACCATTCCTTAATTAAGCAAATCCATGCGCATTCCAATGAAATGATTTACGCTAAAATGATCACGCAAAAAACTGGGTATCCAGCCCAAAAACCTATCCATGTTAAAACTTTTTAAGGTGAACTACCGTTTAAGTTGTAAAACGTAAATTTCCATCCTTATTTTATGTTAATTTTATTTAAAATATATTAAATCTATTGTTTAAAGCCTTACTATATTTTCACTATACTATACAAAGGCAAAAAGAAATTTTCAGTCATGGCTGGCAAGACTGGTCGTCTCATTTTATTGTTGTTTCTTTACAACTTTGTTTTGTATTTTTAATTGTTTAATATAACACTTTATTAGTCAATAGTAATTTAACTGAAAAAAAGTGCCGTATCTCAATTCATGATGACTCAGCGAACCCGGAATCGGGCGGTTAATTCTATCCTTCCTAGTTAACTTGTTAAGGCGATTTGAACTTGACTTTTACTTGTTCTTCTTCCTAGTTTCGGCTACCCTTAATGCCGTTTTTCTTCAAAAATTCCCAACTGGATTAACCTGCGCACACAGATACGCATTTTTATGCAAAAATTGTTTAAGGAGTTTTGATTTCAACAGTTTTATAAAAAAGGAAAAGTGTACAGCTCAACCTTCTTACGGCATTGAAATCTCCTATGCATCTCGTCTTAAATTATTTTACCTCTTCTGCCTAGCATTAACGACCATATAGAGAGTGGGTGTTGACATTTAAATAAATCGTCTTCCAACAAGATTTATGGCTCGAGGATCAAAAACGGCCAGGATAAGGTACGTATGTGTCAAGCACAATGGAAAGTTATCAACATTTTGGCAGCCATCGGATTGAACTGGAAGATACCGTCAATTCATGAGGTGAATGGGCGGATTTTGATGATCAAAGCATCTCAGATTTCTCTTCTAAGGAAGCAAACGCTTCTAAGAAAATATGCCGCTCATTTTATACGTCTCGGTTATGATGATGTATTTCAACTTAGGCGGAGGTGAAAAGTGAATTTATCCCGGTAGAAAATCTGTGACGATGTCGATTGACACAAACGATCCTTAGATCGATTATAATTATAAGGGAGGCCGATGGAAATGACACAATTTAATTTTTAATTTTGAAAACGTTCGTTAAGAGGCAGTCAGGATCTCGTCGTTTGATATTTCAACCTTGTCTTCGGCTCCAAGGTAGTTCCGACCTTCTGGCCAACGATTAATTCTTTTGTTTCAAAACCACTCTCAATTAACCATCCGACGGGCGGCTCGGAGGCACGCCAAAACCTCCTTTGGAACGAGGAACCGCGTTATAATTGCACTTTCTAACTAGTCAGCTAAAAGTGAAATCGATATCTTTTAAAAAGGAGGAAGAAAAAAAAATTATAAATCGATTAATCAGGCGAAATACTCATTTTTTACCTCCCCTGTCCTATTTATTCACATCTTATCACCTTGATAATTTGTAAGTTTAGTATTAATCAGAAATAACTTTGACTATTTGAAGGACGTTTCGAAACGATTTTATTGCCAAAACAATAATATATATAAAAGCAACGGAGGCGGTTTTTTTTCGCAATTTTACAAACTCGGCACAATTGAGAACTGACTCATTTGCAAACAGAGGAGTAAAAACAGAAAAGGAATGGTGGAAAAGTTTGTTTTTTTTATGACGCAATAACGATAACAATAATATAGTAAGTGTTTAATCTATGATGGTTTTGGGAACCCACAACGAGAGGGGAACGGACAAATTGGGCGAGAGTCGCAGGTTGTTAAGAACACAGATAGAGGCAACAAAACACACTCTTACAGAAAGGCAGATGGCAAGAGAGATAGGGAGAAAGAAAGAAAGAAAGAGAGAGAGAGAGAGAGAGAGACACACACACAGACAGACAGAGACAGAGAAAAGAAAGACAGGAAAAGAAAGAAAGTACGAAAAAGAGAGAGGGGAGAGAGAAAGGGAAAGAGAGGGAAAGAAAGAGGGAGAATGAAAGAGAGAGAGAGAGTGAGAGAGAAAGAGATTGTTATTATTTAATCGTACCTTTAAAGATTAAGACAAATGATAAAATTGAAGAGTAGACTTAACTGTGTAAACAAAGAATTTTTCAATGTTATGAACCAATCTCAAAAATAAGTTTATTATAAACGAACTCTTTTTTTTTGTCATTTGTTTTAATATTTCGATCACGCATGAATTTGTTTATTCCTGAGGTAAATGTATAACTGTGTGCTCTCTATAGTCCACACACAACATCTCTTGGAATTTTCACACTAGTGATCTCAATCTAATTAACTCTTACGTGTTGAGAACGTATTTCAGTTACACAATGAGCGAAAAAAAAATCCAACGATAAAGAAAAACGATTTTTGCAAGAATTAAATTGGGAAACTAGCCGCGACAACGGTTTTCAACACATGTCAACAACCCTATACCGGCTGGTCCTCTTTTGACTCTAACCCCTCAAGCCTTTTCCTAAAATTGTTCAAGAGAAATGTTGAGGAGGAAAATGATGATCGATAGACTAATATGGACACTGGGTCATAGGGGACGACACGTGTCTGGGTGAAGCTGTGACATTGTTTAGATTAGTTTTAAATCCTTCTAGCCCATTACATAAGAAACTGATTTAAAGAACCACTTTTCTTTTTTTTATGGTAAAAAAATAAATTTTTGTCAATTATTGCAGGGAATCCAAACGGCCGTCATTGCCTACAGGCAAAAATGCGTTTTATTGAACCCACATTAAAAGAAATTTGTCTTCTGATATCCTCCATAAAAATTCTAGCAATTTAAAAAGAAACTTATCCCATTGCGCTGAAGAGATTGAAGACTGAAGATGGTGATTTTACATTAGCGCCAAAACAATGAGTGTTACACACTGCAGTAAAACTACCGCGCCGCCCTAAGCTCACGGTATTTTCGCTAACCTGTCACCAATTTTCTACTTTTTCCATAATTGGGCCAGAAAGGGTTAGAATCCAGATAATCTGCCCAACTTCTAGTAATTGCTTCATTCCTTGATCTACATTTTCATTGGTTAATCCGGCAGGACACAACGAAAGAACGGTTATTTCCGATAGCCACCATGTAAGAGATTGACGATTCCAAGAAAGAGATCGAAGCTTCCAAGGCTCCAAAACACTGCGCCTGACCTTAAATCATTGAATTTCCCCCTAACCTTTAACTCATATTTGTGTTTGTTGTTGCACTGAAGCAAAATTTGCCTAAAAGGGTTGAAAATCAGTTTATTTGTCCAACCTGTAGTAACCCACTTTATTTCTAGATGGTGTGGTATGGTAATAAGCATACTAAGAGCGGGGTGTTCCCCAGTCACTGCAGCCTTCTGGCTTCCTCTGAGTTTAGCCCTCTCCAATTGCAGCAGTGATTTTGCCAGTCTTGGTGAGGGTTGTTTCATCATAAGTTTACTGTGTCTAGCGCCGCTAGAGTTTATCCACTTCTCCTTTTGTTTTGTTTGGATCCATTCTGCGATGGAGGATTCTATGTTTGTTTTTGTTATCCCAAGTATAGGTTTGGGGCCTCCTATGTATGGTCTTACAGATCCTCCTCTGGCCAGTCTGTCTTGTCTGCTTTCTCGTTACCCAAAACTGTGCTTTGGCACCCAAGATATCATCAGGTTGTTGTGCTTCCCCAAGGTTTGGAGATTTTTGATGCATTCACTGACTAATTTTGATGTGATTTTTTTACGCGATAATGCTTTAATCTGCTTGGCTATCAGATCTTAAGAGGATTTTTTGACAGTGAAACCTCTTTTAAGATTTGCCAGGGCACAAGCGTCGATGTCGTGTATTTCTGTTTGAAAGACCGAAGTGTACTTTCCTAATGAGTTTGATTGTTCATGTTCTTGTACAGAAAATACCCACTTTATTGAGCTTCGAAGAGAATTGTGCTCAATTGTGAGATTTCTCCATTGGGCTCTGTGGGGTTATGAACCTGCAGTTTCGCCGTTTCACATGATTTCTTATCTTCTGGTATATTACCCGATTATAATCGGGTATATTAAGAGGGTAACATATTAAGAGAATTTGTACAATCAACTGACAACTGCTGTTTGATTGTCCAACTCGGCTAGACACAACGAAGATCACCGGTTGCCAAGAGCAATTTGGCTTATGTTGGAGATTGACGATTTCCAGATGATAAGTAAATATTCCAAGAGGGAGATAGAAGATTCCATAATGGAGATCGAAGATTTCAAGATGGAGATAGAAGATTCCACAATGGAGATCGAAGATTCCAAGATGGAGATCGAAGATTCCAAGATGGAGATCGAAAATTTCAAGATGGAGATAGAAGATTCCATAATGGAGAAAGAAGATTCCAAGATGAAGATCGAAGATTCCAAGATGAAGATCGAAGATTTCAAGATGGAGATAGAAGATTCCATAATGGAGATCGAAGATTCCAAAATGGAGATCGAAGATTCTAATATAAAGATATAGATTGGTGCCAAAACGTTCAAAAATTTACACTTACAAAAGGTGCCTATTAATGATACTTTGTGGACAATTAGAAAATTATACGCTTTAGAGGAAGTGGTAGACGAAAGTCAAACAGGAGGTCCCGTTCGTCCCACATAAATGAGACAGACCAAAACACATTTTCTTGAAGGGGGACAGCCCTCTTTCTCACTCTCTCTTTTTTGCCCCCCTCCCTGTCAACCCTCTTATTATTAATAAGATTAATTATTACTTAAAATTAAAACCGTTCTTTCCGTCTTAGTTATTAACAAGGGCTGCCTGCCGCAAAGCCGTTTAAAAACGATGACACTAGGGGAAATAGATACGGGGTTCGAGAGTAAATGCCATATTAGTCATCGGCACCGATAGCAGGTCATTGTTCTCTTAAAACGTCCGCACACTATGTAACAACCGCTCTCGGCCGCGCTGGTCGATTTTTCCCCTCCATCTGACTAGGGCTGCGGTTTAGTGTTGATTTTGTTCCAGGAGTAAGACGCACGTCACGATTGTTGGCTTCGTCTTAACAAATACGGCGTCCGAGGGCAGCCGAATATACCCGAACTCAACGATTTCCGACCGCCCCGGCGCACACCAGGCCGGTAGCGCGGCGCGGCGCGGAGCAAGAGGAAGCTGCCAGTCTTCTGGAACGCAGCTCCGCGCCGCGCTACCGGCCTAGTGTGCGCCGGGGCGGTCGGAAATCGTTGAGTTCGGGTATATTCGGCTGCCCTCGGACGCCATATACCAGGGTTCCAGAAGACTGGCAGCTTCCTCTGGCAACGCGCCGCGCCGCTCTACCGTCTTAGCGTGCGGGGTTACATTCACATCAATGTATTCTTCTTGGGGGTCGGTACCGCGCCGCGCGACCTAGTGTGCGCCCAGCTTAGGAGACATGCGTTATGGTCATTGTCCCAGATCCCGTTGGTTAAACAAAGAAGAAACTGCAATGCAATTTTTCAACAGACCGTGATAATTATAGAACTTATAACTTTTACAAAATTATCTCCATGTTCAAATATAATGGAATGTCTAATTTTTAAACTCTTCTTTTTCATACCAAACTTAACACGTGTTTACTATTTTTGAAGATTATCATTGACCTATTATCTTAAAATTTTTGGTATATTTGTTTTCTCTACGTGACATTCTTCAGAGTAGTGTCACGATCTGCCATTTTGTTTGCATGTCTGTTTTGCACGTCTTGTACTTTTTATTTTGTAGGTGTTAACCGATTGTGCCAGCCATTTATCAAATGTTTTTTTTTTAATTCCAGGCGCTTACTATTCATAATATTGTTGTAAGATGACATAACACGCTTCTACTGTGTTTTTCATTGTTTCTTGGGCTAGCAGTTACATCATCAAGATTGCATTTATGTGGAAAATTTGAAGAAGTTATATTTCAAAAATTTAATTGTGTCGAAGAGGTCTTTTTTGGGTAAAAGATCACCAAATCCGGTTCCCCCGGTCCAGTCAGAAGAGAAATGGTCCTTTTATTTGAAATCTTTTGGCGTACGTCCACTTAACAGCGAGTTAAACCGATTTCGGTACTCATTCCCAGCCCACACAATTCGAATTTGGGGTTGTTTTATTTGATTTAATGAAGGCTGTTTGAAATTGTAAGTCACACGATAGGGACACAAAACCGACCACTCTTAAAGTACAGTAAAAATAAGATACTCAAGACAGAATTATTTATAGGATAATGATAGTTTTATTTTCTAGTTCAATCTTCACGTACCAAGATAGAAATGTATCGAGATGACTGAGTAAACAAGTGGCTATAAGTTTATCACTTGTTTATTATTGTATATTGCAGAAATAAATAAATGAATTACTTTTTTTCTTCTTCAGATTTCTAACACAATTACAACACAGCCTTCTGGCAGTAGGAACATTTTTTCTCATAATGTATGTATAACAAATTTTTGTTAACCCTTTTTCGCCTAGGTTGCCTCACAGCAACACCAAATTTAGCAATTTTGAAAAAGGCTAACTGTACATTCCGCGAGTTTAGGGCGGGAGCTGAGTATCGGCTACATTGGATGTTTTGGCACAAATCTAGAATCTCCATCTTGTAATCTTCAATCTTCAATATGGATGGTTCTTCGCCTACTACATCCTCCCAGGAAACGTACCTTCTCCCTTTAGGCAAAAAGTATTCAAATAGCGTCAACGTTATTTAAAACTTGTTGTGAACCCTTCTGGCCCAGTTTTCCCTCAGAGCAATACAAAGTTTAAGTTGTCTTGTTTTTACATTTTTTGGCATCTCAGAATTCTTAAATTAATTTTTCATTTAAACGGATCGAAAGGATTTAACTTGTTATCGAAGGTTGCAGTTTAAAAAAAATAGGTTGTTTCTATCGCGAAGAAACGTTTTTGAAATTTTTTCGTGTTATAATACTGTTTATTTTTTTTTATGTACATGCGATAAAATGGCCCGCGGATGTCTCGGCCTAAGTTTGATCTTGACCGAAAACCGATTTTCGTATTTTGGCTCTGACATTTACAACCTATTTGGAAATCAAGTTGAAATTTCCATTATTCCTCATATTTCTTATTGGTAACGTACTTAATTTGAAATGGTGTTGCAAAGTAGGCCTTCGTTGTGGAAAAAAAATCAACCAAAGACCCAACTTTTATTAGATGTTCTTGTTAGCCTTCGTGAAGTTTTTATTATTTATATATTTAAATTATTGACCATACCTCGTTGTCCGAGTTCAGTATGATGGGATTTACCTAAAAACAAAAAATATATATATTAATTCACCAGGTTTTATAATACACTGAGAAGCAAAAAAGTGGCCACTTTTTATCTAATGTCTTGGTTGAAATGAAAAAGTTAGTGTCACGAGCGGGATTCGAACCCACGACCTTAAATAAAAAGTATAATTCATTGAAATAATTAATATGATCAATTATGATTGCTAAATATATATGGATTAGAGTAATGTTTTACTTTGCTTTTTAAAGACAAAAGTGGTGCAAGTGTTCATGAAAAAGAAAAGTGTGTTTATCACACAAAAACCCTACCTTCAAGCTGAATATATATTAAATTAATAAATATATAAAATCGGAACCAATAGTTAGTTAGTAGGGAAGGTAAGGTTAGGTTAGGTTATGTAGAGTTTGCATAAGGCATGATTCAATATGTCCACGCCATCGTTTTATCAAGATAATAAAATAAGTGGGGGACCGCGGTAGCCGAGTGGTTAGCATGAGAGACTCTCACGCCGCGGTCGTGGATTCGATTCCCACCTTCGCCTCTGGCCCTTTTTTCCCGATAACCCCCAATTTGGACAACATGTATAAGAATTCGTCATGGCTAATATGCAAAGATCATAAGGAAAAAAAAAGTAAAGTAATAAGTAATTGAGCATCAACTTTACTTTTTGGTCAACCCCCCCCCCCCAAGTTTTATACATTTTCAAAAACTGGATATTTTAATATAAAAAATGGTACGAAGAACAATTAGATCGGTCGCGTATTTTTATAGAGAGATAATTTAATTCAAAGACGGGGGGGAGAGTAATTCTTTTAATGTTCTAAGGTTTGTTATTTATTGGAAGGTTTGAAATTGAAACCTTGAAATTGAAGGTATTGGAAGGAATGGTTAGTTTAAGATGGGTTAGGTTAACCCTTAAGAATGGTTCGTAGTTTCCCCATTGTCCAAAGTCCGATTCTCGATTGTATATGACAGATTTACACTTTTCAGGTTACTTCAACTTCGCACTACATTATTCCATGTAGTCCGCCATATGTAATATAGTGTTAATCCTGCTGTAAATTTGATTACACCAATAGAAAAAGCATTGCAAACACTATGAGAATGATTCATTTGTGTTTGTTTTTTATGTTTAAGCAAACAAAATTTTTAAAAAAGTCACTTAGATGGTAAACCTTTACGAGTTTCCTACATTCTTACCTAAAATTTAGGTTTAGGTAAAATTTATTGATGATCGGTACAGTTTTTGGGCTGGATACATGTTTTTTTGCGTGACTATTTTCGCGTTACTGGTGATTGGGTTAGGTTAGGTTATGTTAGGTAGGGTTGGGCAAGGTAAGGTTAATACGTATTTTAACGGTGACGAATCAACGAAAATGTCTATTAAAATGTAAAAATAGCTTATCATATAATTTTTAAAAACTACACTGAGAGGTAAAAAGCGTGGCCAACCTCGTTTTTTAATAAATACTTGCAGTTGTTATAATTTTTTATTTTTGTAGTTTACTGGATATTTTTAAAGAAAAATTTAAGACATTGCTATATAATAAATTAAACTGGGTAAAACAATTCTACCTAAAATGTGGCTGGAGACAATGAAGAAAATATCCAGTTCATTATGAAGTAATTTCTCCTTTTGTGTTGACCACCGCTTGCATTTGACGTGGTACAGATTTGATGAGGTTTTGAATGTTATGCTGTGGTTTATTTTCATACTCTTCCAACAGCGCCATTCTTAATCCCTGCAAATGCTCTGGCATCACTGGACGACCTTTAACCCTCTTTGATAACTCGTCCCAAAGGTGTTCGATAGGCTGTAAGTCGAGACTAAAAGCTGGCCACTGCAAGCATTCGATTGAAGCACGTTCTAAGTTGTCACCAATGATCCTAAATGTGTAGGCCTTGCATGGCAACAACATACACAAAAATAACTCTGCCGCCAATTAGTGATATATAAGGAACAACTTCTTCTGGTAATACATTTTAATACATTCTGTATGCGCAGCTGTTAGCAAACCCTCGATGAAGATTAAGTTTGTGTTACCTTCCACAGAAATGCCTACCCAACAACAACAATAAAACAATGAAACTATTATCTCTCTGAGATGTGACATGATCGTGACTTGACACATGCTTTCTTGAGTAACTTCCACTGTTTTGTTGCGATGGAAGATCCTTCGGACAGTTGTTCTGGGAATGTTAACCCCCCCTTGGCATAAATGCTTGACTTCTTCAATCTTCCTTTAATGCTACGATTAAAACCGAATATATATCGTTTAAATCCATCACTCAAACAAATTGGACTCTTAAAAATGGTACAACTTAAAAAAGTCAAACCACCGGAACCTTAGAAAGAAGCAGAAAAACCAACAAACAAAGACTGACTATTCAATTTTTTTTACAAAATCCAATTGTAAACATAAATGAGAGATTTTATCTGTGTTTTATTTATCTCTAATCCTTTAAAACTGACCAAATATTGTTGTAAGGTATGTAGATAACATGTAAGATGGAGGATTTGTAAGAAATAATTAAAAATATTTAGGGTGGCTACTTCCTTTGCCTCTTAGTATTCGTATATGAAATATGATTCGCCAATGTTCACATCATTCCATATTTTCAAGACAAAACAAACCCTTAGGTATTCTAAAATTTAAAGTGATTTTTCTGCGTTTTATTTAAATGTCGCTCGAACTGGTGGACTGGACAGCATGTGTATGTTGATAAAAACAAGGAGAATATATCCCACTTCGTCATAGGTTCTAATTATAGAGTGTATTATTTTTTTATTATTACATTCAAGGTTTGTACGATGGTGCACTTAGCATAAACTGTTTCCTTGTTTAATTTTAGATCCAGTTCCTAACATCGAAGCCACGAGGGATAAAATCAAATCCGGCCAATGCCGGATCGTTCGTGACGGTGACGCCAACTTCTGTTCAAGCCGAAGGTTGACTTTGAGACGTCCTTTTCGGTAAATTACATAAGGATATCCCATAGAATTTATAAAACTGTCAAAACTAATGTTTAAACAATACATTATATAATATCATTCGCAAGGAACTTCAGTGCTCCATGGCCACTGTTTTCTCCCAAAATATCTCTTTTATAAATAAACTTTGAAACATTGAAGGAATTTTAATTTAATATTAAAGATGCAATTACCTTAAATACGTTTTTTTCTCAAGATCATTTCAAAGCTCGCCGATAAAGAAAATCACGTCCATAATAATTTACTAAAAACTATTAAAATACAATTAGGACAAATGACTTTAAAAACTTGACATAGCCAAACGCAACGGAAGAAATTGTCTTACCTACCACCTAATAAATTAAAAGGTTATCATGTTTAATAAGTCCATGTCGGATTAAATCTGGAGTTAATGGCAGCAATTTTGGAAGATTACAAAAAATTCTAACTCGTACAATACCGTGTTCAATAAAGTTTCAAATATTCCAAAGGATATGATTGAATATAGGCAAGAAAATGGGAACCCAGCCTTTTTTCTTCTTGAAGCTATATCGGTACAAAATTTCTGATATGGTTTGCTTTTTTAACCGTCCAGTCAAACGTGTAATCCGTCAAATTTATAAGAAATTTCGAAGCGCGAAAAAAGAATTTTTCTTTTCTAAGCGGTTGTCTTCTTAAGAGTTTACGCCTGTCCGGATCCTACACTTTGAAAGTGAAAGTCCAGGACCAGTTTACTTTTCTGAAAACATTAATCATAATAATATGCGAGATGACGGGGAGATAGTTTCGTTAAATAAGCCTGCAATTGAATTTTTTTCAACATAGATATGTTATTGGACTGGACACATAAATTTTCTTTGTACAATCGTTTTCGCATCAACAATTACGTGTTGTCGAGGTGTGCATGGGTTAGGTTAGGAATGTTCAAATTAGGTGGGTATAGGGATGAGTTAGGAATGTTTAGATTAGATGGGGTCAGGGACGGTTAGGTTCATTTAGGAATGTTTAGATTAGGGTTAGGGACGAGTTAGGTTAGGTATATTTGGGCAAGGTGGGGTTAGGGGCAAGTTAAGTTAAATTAAGAATGTTTAAATTAGGGTTAGGGATAAGTTAGATTAGGTTAGGAATGTTTAAGTTAGATTGAATTAGATTTGGGTTGGTACGGGTTAGGAATGTTTAGGTTAGTTAGGGTTGAGACGGGTTAGGTTAGAAATGTTTAGGTTAGGGACGTTATGTTAAGTTGTGAATTTTTAGTTTAGGTTCGGAATGTTTAGATTAGATAAGGTTGAATTAGGTTTCGGGACGTGTTACGGTTATGATTAGGTTAGGTTAGGCTTGGGTTAGGTTACATATCAATCCCACCGTCTCCAATCATTTTGGTCTGTCTACCGTCGCTGTTTATCCCTTGCCGCGCTTTTTAAGCATCAAGTCAGGTAAATAGTGTGAGTACAATAAATAGAAATAGCCAAAGCCTGCAAGAAAATGGCTCAGATCTTCCTGGTCCGGCCAGATATCTACTGATTTATTTCAATGGATTTGTGCCTTTGCGAAATGCTAAGAAAGTATAGTATGTCTTGTCCTCACCCTACTTATATCCCCGACACTCTAAAGATAGCGTAATGCCGAAACGCGTCTAATAAGCCAAAGATTTAGGCAGAGTAATGTACTTTATGCTATTTTTTGGTTGTTTGTGTACATAAATTAACTCAGATGTTCTTCTCATTTGTTTTTTATTATATGTAGAATCTGATGTAATTTTTCACTACATTCACATGTTATTGTATACATATAGGTTTTGTTTTCATGGTCAGCCTTGTTGATATTTTGTCTCAGGGGTTTCCCTACAATATTTATATGTATGTATTTTATTTAGTACTTTATTATATTAAATTTTAAAAAATAAATAAAAAAACTGACAAACGAAGTACGAATGACAATTGTTTGCACCGCTATTTCCGGGTCAAGCTGCGGTTTTTTGTCAAGGTTATCAAACTTCAGCGCGAACAAGAGTTCGGATAGACTGACATTTAGAGTTGTAAAAAA